CAAGGAGATAGGTCAGGCTGAGTTGGGCTGTACCCAGAAATGATCAGTGTTTTAGCATCCCTAACCTTGACTTCTAATAGATTCATTAATTTCTTGAAAAGAGGAGAGATGGGAAGCGTGGAGGTGTTGTTCATCAGCCCCTGATTAATCTCTTACCGGTTTCCTCCATTCCAGTGACGCCAGAGAGAATTCTCAGAGAGTCACAGACCTTTTGAAGTTTGGAAACAGCGGCCACGGAGTGGAGGATTCGAAGGCTGACCAGGCTGCCAATGAATGGGGCCGCAGTGGCAAAGACCCCAACCACTTCCGACCCCCTGGCCTGCCTGTCAAGTACTGAGCTTCCCCTTGGCTCTGCCCTTGGGAGATGGGCTGTCAGACCCCTGAAAGAAGGAACAGTTGCTGAGTTAGTTACTGAATTCTCTATCTTTCCTACTCAATACTTCATAAAGAGCACATAAAAAATGTTTAATAAATGCTTATGAAATTCAATTTGTCATTGTTGTCATCTGGAAACAGCTAATGGCAATCTTCCTGGGTGCTTTTAATACCAGGGACATGATCAACTTACCTTATATCATTTTTCTTTAAAGAAGATAAGGCACTAATAAAGAATAATACTAATTTGGGGTAAAAGTATATTTCCATGATAAGGACCATACTATATAGAGTATATATGGACCATACATGTCAGTCCGTGGGTTAGAGAGAGATCTAAACTCTAGTTCTCAACAGGGTAGTGCTGCAGCCACCTCCAACCCCACACCAGCTGTTGGATCATCTGGGGATACTTTTGGTTGACACGGTGATTGCAGGGCCTTTGGTGTATGAACCAGAGGTACGTACAGCTTACAATTTATGAGACAGTGCTGCAAACAAAGGGTCATCCTGAATCTTGCTTGACATTTGCAGTATCCTATCAGACATGTATTTCGGCAGAATCAGATTTACTGCAAAACTGAATGAAGCTTAAGCTTCAAGAACTCCTCACTTATATGGGACCATTCCAAGATCCTCGGAGAGGCCTTGGGAAAGGATTCACATGGTCAATTATCTTTGTAAAATATGCAGAAGTAAAATATTTTAACTAAGGCAGTTAATGCCTCTGACTGTCATGCCAACATTCTGCCTTTACTTTTCTGCTCGTGTTGAGTGGCACTGGGGTGGGCACAGGCATTTTGGTGACTTGACTAAGGAGAAGTTGAATTGGGAATATGATTTGTTTGCACTTAGTGGGACATATTTGTGTTGTTTTCAGTCACTTCCAAGTATAATTAAGTTATTGATCTCTATCTTGGAGTAGGAATGGCCTCTAGGTATGTATTCTCCTACCATCTACTGTGGTTACTCCCAGTGCAGGAGGAAAGGTCATATGGCAAAATAAACATGTCCTGTACAGTCCAGCACAGAGTATGTGAGTAGTTGGGAAGAAACAATTTTGAAAGTCAAGCATGAGTTAATGGAGAATTGTAAGATCACATGTGTAAGATTTTTATTTTGATGGAATCCTAGTCAAAATGGAAGTTCCCCCAGAGAGAGGTTTTCCAAATTTGACAGTGGTCAAACTTTATAGAATATTACCAATAACAAGTTGTGAAGCTGAAAGAAACTTTCCTAAACCACCAATAATAATTTTTTAAAAATCAAACAACCATGCTAAAGACAGAATTGTCTTTTTATTTTTCATTATAGAAAATGATCTTACAAGGTCATTGTCATAAAATGAAGATCAAAGTGAACTCAGAAAAATTATATTAAAAATTAAAATTATATTAAAAATATTATATTAAAACAGAGGATTTTTTGGGTAGTGTAAGTAGTCTGCATGATACAATAATGGTGGATATATGTCATTAGAAATTTGCCCAAACCCATAGAATGTACAACACCAAAAGAGAACCCAATGTAAACTGTGGGTTATAATGATGTGCCAATGTAGCTTCATCAATTATATCTAATATCCCACTCTAGTGGGGAATGCTAATAATGGGGGTTGCTATGCATGGGGGCAGGTATGAATTATATGGGAAATTTCTGTACCTTCTGCTCAATATTGTTGTGAAACTAGAATTGCTCTAAAAATAAATTCTATTAGAAGAAAGAAAAAGGATTGTTGAAGTGTGTCAGGCTGTTTATTAATAAAAATATTTATATATTTTTCTGTATTTTGTGATGTTTTACATATTTGTTGGCTATTTAAAGTTGATACATTTTCGCCATTCTAAATAAATAGTTCCTATTGTTAACTAATTTAATATTTGTAATTTTGTATTGTTTTTCCTAAAGGGGGCTCCCCAAATTGCATAACTCAGGCCTTATAAAACCTGGGTCTGCCCCTTCACATACAGTGAAAAAAAATGTTCATAATTACTTAAGCTGGAACCCAACTGTATTTTACATATTAACAGAGTATTCTTTGTCCAGTTTTAATATAACTTAAAATTTTCTGAAAATGCAATTGCTTTGTAAATTGGAACTTTGTTTTGGCAGAAATTTTACCATCCTCTGGTTATGATTTTGAGAAGCACAGTCCCTGATGGAATCACACCTCTCTTACTCTGTAACTGTTGGGTTCACAGGGATCTGATGTGTATGTGCTAACTCTATTATGTCTTCTAGTACTTGAAGTATTAAAACACATATCATTTTATTTAATTCTATTTCTTCTTTCTGTTAGGGAGCCATATTACTATTTTTGAAATTAATGTTGAGGTAGATAATATCATCTATAAATCTCTTTCAGCAAAGTAAAGTAGGTGTGGCAAAATATTTTGTGGGGTGGGAGAGGAGCACTGGGTCTGAGGTTGAGTACCATTGAACTAAATAGAAGCAGGAACTGAAAATACAGGGAGTTGTATTCTTGACGATATTGACGTTCTTCCTGGTGACTTATGTCTTTCCGAGGATTCCAACCACACCTGGGAAAAGAAAGAGCGCCTACTCATGCCTTTAAGGATGCCAAACCTGCCCTGAGATCAGGGGTCCGACAGCTTCGAAATTTACGTCTGCACCAGAGACACTGTCCCCGACTCCCTGTCCTTTCATTCAGGCTAAGAGCCCCTAAGGAGATGGAATATCTGGTCCAGGGAGAGTGACAAATAACAGTTAATGAATACGGTCGTGCTTGGGTCCTAGATAGGGTTGGGCAAGGGGAGATCAAGTCATCTGGGATCCCAAGCCTGTGGGCGCACAGAACGGGTATTCAGGCCGGCAGGCTCCGGGCAGTAGGGGGCGCTGTGGCGGGAGCCGCTCCGGGCGCGCCGGCCCCTCTGGCGCCAGGAGACTTATCGCCTCCTCCAGCGGCTTCCGGCGCGGCTTCTAGGAGCGGGTGGAGAAGTCATGGACCGCAACCCTTCGCCGCCGCTGCCGAATCGGGACCAGGACGAGGAGGAGGGGGCCGGGGGTGACTGCATAGGAAGCACGGTCTACAGCAAACACTGGCTCTTCGGCGTCCTCAGCGGGCTCATCCAGGTGTGGAAAGTCGCGCCCCGCGTGGGCTCGCCCACATTGCCCCAGCCCCCCTGGTCACGCCTCTGGCGGCCCACTCCAGCACTCTCTCCGCGACCACCCTTCTCGAGGCATCGCGCTTAGCGTCCTGGCCGCCTCCACGGACCCCAAAACTGCGGGGAGCCACTTCCCGGTACCCCTCAACACAAAGGGAGGTAGAGTGGCAGGGATGCTGGAATGCTTACGGTTAAAATATTTTACTTTTTCATATTTTCCGAAAATGTCTGACCATGTAAATACATTGCTCGGCTTTTTGCTCCCCATTCCCACTGTCGTTTCTGAACCTCAGGGCCTAATTTATTTTGTGGACTTTTGTTGTAGTAGAATAAATGGTGATTTTGGAGTCCTGCCGCCCTGATACGAAAGCGTAGCTTCATCACCTGCTTTGGGCAAGTTACCTAACCGCTCAGAGCCTCGATTTCTCTCTCAATTTCTGTAAACTGCTTTACCTATTTATTGTATATAGGGTTATTGTGTAGGTTAGATAAGATTATAATGGGCATAGAGTGCTTACCATGGTGTTTGGCTTATCGGAGCTCTCAATAAATGTGAACTTTCTTCTCGCACATTTCCCGGACTTACCTACTTAAAATCTCTGTTCTCTCCAGTGCATCTGCAACATAGTTGCTGGAATATTCGTCCTTATACAAACAGACAAACCAAAAAAAGCAAGCTGTTTTTGGGAACTCATTTTGGTTCTCTTTGCCTGCAGGAGAAAAATGCATATTTCTTAGTTTGGAATCCAGGGCTCCTTGCAACCTTCCCAGCTTCATCTGCCAAGACACTCTCAACTACTCACCATTCCCCAAACCTTACTAGGCCCTTTCTTAACTCTGAACTCTTGAACTTTCTTAGGTATGTTCTTCTCCCATTCTTCACATGACAAACTCCTATTCTCCCTCAAAGACTTAGCTTAAAGATTCCCTCCTAGGAGAACTTTGCCCACCTTTTCCAGGCATAGGTCATTGGTCCATCGTTTTTGCTTTCACTACTCTGTCCACAGTTCATTTGTATCACTTAGCCTTTTCTGTTGTGATAATTAGTTTACATGTGTTTCCCCCTGTAGATCCTTAACTGCTTGAAAGCAAGGGGTTAAATATATTCATCTCTGTATTTCAACCCCAGTGCCTAGTAACAGTATTTACTCTGTGGATGTGAATGAATAGATCTGCCCAGGGTAGTAATTTCTTAAAACAAGGTTTCTGCAAGAGAAGATACTTTGAGGAAAGTGTCTTTGTGACTTGTGGATGATTATGGGATAATATTACATGATGAGTACTATGGACTGCTTTTGTCATCACTTTTCTTCCTTTCTGTTAAAGATTGTTAGCCCTGAAAACACCAAATCCAGCTCAGATGAGGAGGAGCAGCAGATGGAGCTTGATGAAGAAATGGAGAATGAAATTTGCAGAGTGTGGGATATGTCAATGGACGAGGTATGGGGTTGGAAATGAAACTGAGAAGACTGTTGGGTAAGGAGGTGGTGAATGGATTTTTTTTTTTTTTTTTTTTTTTAAGTTTCAGTCCTTAAGTCTCTGGGAAAATACTTTAGTGTCTGTAATCACTCATATGGGTATAGGGAGTGCGTTTAAATGCTAAACTTTTGTTTCTGAGCCTAGAGGATCTGAGCTGTCATTAGATTTGGTCTAAATATATAGTTCTCATGAATGCAAGAATGCTTGTAGCCCAGGAAAGTTCTGATACTTACCTGCCTTAGAGAATGCTGACCTTGTGTTTGAGAGCAGGTTAGAAGTGAGGAGACCACTGATGTACCACGATTAAATTGGAAGGGGACAAGAAGGACCCATGTGTGTATAATTGCAAAATAATATTTTAACGTTTGTATTGTACTCTGTAGCTTAACAGCATTTTCATGTGTATATTATTCCCTTTGTTTTTCACAATAACCCTGTGATATAGATAGTACCCTTATTTTACAGATAAGAAAAGACATGAAAAGAGATTGACATACATAATCTCTCACTTAATTACTTGGACTTTTGCAATAGCTTCCTGATTAAAATCCTTGTTTTAGTTTTTCACTTCCTTTCTGTCCTCCACATTGTCACGGAAGTTCTCTTTTTCCTAAAACACAGACTTAATTGTGTTCTTTTCTTCTGTCTTAAAAGTTGTCCATGGCTATTCATTGGCTTTGGCTGTTTTTTGATACAGCTTTATTGAGGTATAATTTGCACCAAAAAAGCTGTGTATTCTTGAGGTGTGATTGGTGTACAGAAACTACACATATTTAAATTGCACAATTTGAAAAATTTTGTGTGTGTATACGCACATGAAGCCGTCACTGTAATCCAGAAAGAGAACATCTCTCTCACCTTCAAAAGTTTCCTTATGCCTGTTTGTATCCCTTCCTTTTGCCCCTCCCTGCCTGCAACCTCTCCAGACAACCACCGGATTGCCCTTCTGTCACCTCAGAGTCGTTTGCACTGTCTAGTTTTATATAAATGAGATCGTATTCTTTTTTTGGAGGGGTCTGGCTCTTTCTTTCTTTTTTTTTTTTAATTTTTTTATTGTTATGTTAATCACCATATATTACATCATTAGTTTTTGATGCGGTGTTCCATGATTCATTGTTTGTTCATAACACCCAGTGCACCATGCAAAACGTGCCCTCCTCAATACCCATCACCAGGCTAACCCATCCCCCCACCCCCCTACCCTCTAGAACCCTCAGTTTTTCAGAGTCCATCATCTCTCATGGTTCGTCTCCCCCTCTGACATACTCCCCTTTTCTTCCTCTCCTGTTATCTTCTTCTTTTCCTTTTTTCTTAAAATATGTTGCGTTATTTGTTTCAGAAGTACAGATCTGTGATTCAACAGTCTTGCACAATTCACAGCGCTCACCGTAGCACATACCCTCCCCAATGTCTATCACCCAGCCATCCCATCCCTCCCACCCCCAACCACTCCAGTAACACTCAGTTTGTTTCCTGAGATTAAGAATTCCTCATATCAGTGAGGTCATGTGATACATGTCTTTCTCTGATTGACTTATTTCACTCAGCATAACACCCTCCAGTTCCATCCACGTCGTTGCAAATGGCAAGATCTCATTCCTTTTGATGGCTGCATAATATTCCATTGTGTATATATACCACAACTTCTTTATCCATTCATCTGTCGATGGGCATCTTGGGTCTGGCTCTTTCACTCAGCATCATTGTTTTAAGATTCATGCATGTTGTGTCTATTAGTAGTTTATTATTTTTTTATTGCTGAGTGACACTTCATTGTATGTGTATATCATGATTTATTCATTTATTCCTCTGTTGGTGGATATTTGAGTTGTTCATGGTTTCTTAAAGTTAACACTGAATTTTTGTGTATAATTATGTATGGACTTATGTGTTCCTTTCTTTTGGGTAAATACCTAGAGTAGTATTGGGTCATATGGTAGATGTATATTTAACGTTTTTTGTTTTTTTTTTATGTTTAATTTTTAAGAACAGTCCGAATTGTGTTTCTTACAGGTTGTGTAAAAAATTGTGTATTTTCCCAAGTGGTTTTTACATTTTACATTACCATGAGCAGTGTACGAGATACAGGTCCAGTTTCTCCTCATCCTTGCCAATACTCTGTATGGTCACCCTTTTGATTTTAGTCATTCTAATGAGTGTGTAGTGATTCTCCTTGTAATTGTAATTTGTATTTTCCCTAATTACTAACAGTGTTGACCACATTTTTATGTGTTTATTTGCAATCTGTATATCTTTTTGGTGCTTGTTCATATCTTTTGCCCACTTTTAATTGTGTTGTTTTCTTAGTTTTTTTTCCTCTAAGTCTTATAATTTTAAGTTTTACTGATGGATCTGTAATCCATTTTGAGTTAATTTTTGTGTGTGATGCAAGGTATGAATTGAAGTTCACTTTTTCTGCATATGGATGTCCAGTTATTCAAGCTCAATTTTTAAAAAGACTGTCCTTTCTCCACTGAATTGCCTTTGTATCTTTGTCAAAAATCAGTTATTCTGTATGTGTGAGTCTATTTCTGGACTCTACTTTGTTCCATTGATCTATTTGTCCATCTTTATGATTATTTTAATTACTGTACATATATAAGAAATCTTGAAATCAGGTAGTGTTAATCTTCCAACTTTGTTGTTTCTCAGAGTTGTTTTGGTTGTCCTGGATCCTTTGTATTTCCATATTAATTTTAGAATCAATTTGTCACTTTCTTCAAAATGCCTGCTAGGATTTTGACTGAGATTGAGTTGAATTTATAGATCATTTGGGGAAAGAATTGATAAATTGAACAAGGTATATCTTTCCATTTATTTAGATCCTCTCTAATTTGTTTCAGCAAAGTTTTGTAGTTTTTAGTGTATAGGTATTTCACATCTTTTGTCAGATTTATTCCTAAGTATTTCATACTTTTCCATGCTATTAAAAATGGCATTTTTTAAAAATTTCAATATCTGTTCATTGCTAGTATATAGAAATTCAGTTGATTTTGTATATTTTACATCCTGTAGCTGTATTTCATTTATAAAGGAAACATTTTACTACTTTTTCAATTTGAAGTGCTTTTATTTCTTTTTCTTGCACATTTGCTCTCTCCAGTATGATGTTGATTAGAAAAGTGGTGAGAGGGGCATCCTCTTGTTCTTAATTGAGCAGCAGAACATCTGGTCTTCCACCATTAATATGATGTAACTGCAGATTGAGAAAGTTCCATTCTGTCTCTAGTATGCCTAGAGTCTTTATCAGGAATGGATTTTATATTTTGTCATACTTTTGCTAAGTCAGTTGAGATGATCATGTGGCTTCTTTTTAGTTTGTTAATATGATGAACTAAGTTGACTGATTTCCGAGGTGCTAAAATCTTGTTTAGAAATTCTATATAATTTCATGAGAGATAATTCATTTTCTTGTCATTATCTGGTTTTGGTACCAGGGTAATGCTGTCCTCACTGATTGGGAACTTTTCCCTCTTCATTTTTCAGGAAGAGTTTGTGCAGAATTAATATTATTTCTTCCTTAAATATTTGGTGGAATTCACCAGTGAAGCCATCGGAGCTTGGAGTTTTCTTTCTGGGAAGATTTTTTTTTTTGTTTTTTGCTTGTTTACTTTTAGTTTTGTATATTTATTACTTTTAAGAAATAATAGTTTTATTGAGATAAAACTCCCTACCATAAAATTCACCATTTAGTGGTTTTTGGTGCAAAGGATTATAAATTCAATTCCTTTAATAGGTATAAATAAGGCTCTTCAGGTTACTTTGGTAGTTTATGTTCTTCAGGGAATTTATCCATTTTATCTAAGTTGTCAAATTTATTGGCATAAAGTTCTTCATAACATTGTTATTTTCCTTTATCTGTAGAATCTGTAGTGATAGCACCTCTCTCATTCCTGATATTAGTAATTTGTAACTTCTGTCTTTTTTCCCTTCATCATTCTGGCTAGAAGTTTAATTTATTGATCTTCATGGAGAACCAGCCTTTGGTTTTGTTCATTTTCTCTGTTGCTTTACTGTTTTCTATTTCATTGATTTCCATTTTGATCTCTATTATTTTCCTCCTCCTATTCACTCTTTTAATTTGTTCTTTTTTAATATAGGCATGTAACACTATAAATTTTTAACTGTTGCTTTGGCAGAGTCCCACAGACTCTGATATGTTGGGTTTCCTCTCATTTAGTTTAGTTCTAATTTTCCTTTCATTCTTCTTTGGCTAATGGGTTATTTAGCAGTACATTGTTTAGATTTCAAATATTTGGGAGTTTTTCAGTTATCTTTCTGTTACTGAAGTCTGTGAACACTCTGAATCCTTTTAAAAATATATTTAGACTTGTTTTATAGCCCAGAATGTGATTTATCTTGGAAATTTTCCATGTTCACTGAAAAAGAATGTGTATTCTGCTGTTGCTGGGTGGTGTCCTATATATATGTGTATACACACACACACACACACACACACACGTCAATTAGATCAAGTTGGTTGATCTTTCAAGTCTTTTTCTACTTGTTTTATAATTATTGAGAAGCTATGATTTAAAAAAATTATTTTTAAAGAACTAGAACCTATTTTTAAAATGAAATCTTAATGTGAAATCCTCAAATATGAAATAGGTAAAACAGAGCTGCTGTTTGAATAAGATTGTTGGTAGAAGGCAGGGTCATGTTCTTGGCCTCCTTTTCACCTTCTTAGGGTAGCTCTTTTTTTTTTTTTTTTTTTTTAAGATTTTATTTATTTATCCGAGAGAGAGAATGAGAGACAGAGAGCATGAGAGGGAGGAGGGTGAGAAGGAGAAGCAGACTCCCTGCTGAGCAGGGAGCCCGATGTGGGACTCGATCCTGGGACTCCAGGATCATGACCTGAGCCGAAGGCAGTCGCTTAACCAACTGAGCCACCCAGGCGCCCCTTAGGGTAGCTCTTGAAGTACCTCTAGAGAACTGAGATGTCCACTGATCACTGGTGTAAAGTCCTTCCAGCCTATCTCCTACCATTGATGTTTGAGCAGGACCAGAGACTTCAGATGCTTTCTGCATTTTCATGTGTTCATGCTCTGTTCATGTCCCTGTCTGCCTGGAATGGCCTCCAGCCAGCAAAATCTTTCTCATCTTTTATGGCCCAGCCTAAATGTCACCTTCTCTGTGATGCCTCCTCAGACACTCCAAATGGAATTCATCTCTTCTGTGCTCTCGTGAAACGTGTTCACTCTGTTGCATAACACTTACCTAGTTATTCAGCCTTTGTGTCCTCTGATAGATTTAAGTTCCTTCTCTTAAAAGCTTAATGTCACCTCTTCAGAGGTACCTTCTGTGTCTGAAGTAGCCCCCCCACATCTTGGCTTCTGGCACATACTATCTTGTCTCTCTTCTTTGTAGCACTTACATCAGTTGTTTATGGGTTTATTGTTTGCTCATCCCTCTAGAATAAAAATTCCATGAGACTGGGACCTTATCTAGCTTGTTCACTGATGTGTCCCCCCAGAGCTTCAAACAGTGCCTGTTGCTTGGGTTTTGCAGTAAATACTTGGTGAAGAGTGAATGAATGAATGCATTAGTGACTGAATGAACAGCTGAAGGGTAGCATGGTGTTCTGATTAAGAGCATGTCCGTGAGTCAGACTCATCTGGGTTCTGTTCTCCTGGCTTTGTTCTACTGATTGTATAATCTTGGGCAGGTTGCTTAACCTTTTAAAACTTCTGTTTATTAGTGGAATGGGACTAATAATAATAACTACTTTATAGGGATCTTTTGAGAATTAAATAAGATAGTATGCAAACCACTTCACTGTGTTAATGACCACTTGCTCAATAAATGTTAATTGCCGTTATTATTATTGGTGTTGATATTGTTAGACTACCTAACCCTGTGCTACCCTAGGAATTACTAACTACCGTTTAAATAAATCACTCTCTGCATGCCCTAAGAGTTGCTGACATGACAAACAGCACTCTAAACACTTCGAGTGGGGAGCATCTTTTGCTGTGACTTTCAGTTTGGAGTGTATCTTTGAAAATACTGTTTTCTCTGATTGTGCTCTCAATAATTACAGGACGTCTCTTCTAGTCAGCAGTCATGCAGGTTACCTTGGTTTCAGCTGCTATGAAAGATTACTGCCTCTGTCTTTGGGGTGCCTCCAGGGCCCTTTGAAGAGCATTTTTACTTAAGCCACACAGCTTCTGGTTTTAAGTTAAGCTATTGCAAATATACACTTCAAGTTTGAAAATCCGAGGCAATTGACCATCAAAAACTTCATTTTATTTAAATATTGTACAACACAGATCTCCACAGCAAACTGATTTGGTCTTGGAGCGTGCAAGATTGGATCACATGACCACTCCGGGTTCATTCACCTGTACCCTGTAGGCACCGTGGCCTCAGCAAACTCTAGGAAGGAGATATGAAGCTGTCGCAGTTACACTGTGATCAGAATTATTTTCTGTTGAGAATTTTGAAAGTGTAAGTTCTGATTTGGGGCGTGACCCAAGTAGGGGTTTTAACCTGTTTCCCCCATTGTGTTTTAAGATCTTAGAAGACAGGAATTAGGAGTTTTATGATTTTCCCCACCCCAGTGTCTGGCAGGATACCTGGCAGTTAGCAGATGTGTTTGAATGAGTTAACATTCCTGGTGGCTAGAAAGATCATTAAGGTAAATGCATTCAAGGCAGAAAAAGGAAGATATTCCTGGAGTATCACAGTTAGTTTAAATTTGTTTATGGATTTGTTCCATTGCTTTGGGACCACATAGCACAAAGACTCTCTAACATTACTTTTGTGTAATGATACAGTTCCTAACCTATGGCTTTTTTTTCTTGAGCCTGAAAGGAGGTATATATAGAATATTTTTTTTAAATGGTTGTCTGAACTATGGGGTTTAAAGAGGACTATTCAGCATCCAAATTAATAATCATTTTTTATTTTCAGGATGTGGCTCTATTTCTCCAAGAATTTAATGCTCCTGACATATTTATGGGAGTATTGGCCAAATCCAAATGTCCTCGATTAAGAGTAAGTATGTACATTTTTAAAGCTTCCTCTTTGGAGCAATAACAGCAGATAGTGCTAGATAGTCTTTCATTTTTCTCACTTTAATTTTCTCGCTGGCCACAAATCAGTCAGCAGATTTTTATTGAACATTGCCTGGCACTCGATAATGTGCTGTTTAAAACTATTAGAGTGGGTTGGACCAGGGAGATCAATACTTTCATTTAACCGCTGTGGGAAACAGGCATAACCAAAGTTATATTCCTAATATGTGGCAGAAGAGGGAACATTGCCCGGACCTCGCATTTCTGTTGATTGCTCTTTTTTTTTTTCCCCCATAAAATCCTCCATTGCTTAAAAACCTTCATTCTGAACTCAGCCTGACACTCAGGACTTTCCATAATCTGAATCTAATTCAACTTTCCAGCAAAAAATCTATTGTGCAGATGGTGCTTCTAATTTAGCAAGGCCTGCCACTCCTTGTCTCAGCTTACTGCGTTGATCACCATCTCCATGCTTCCCTTCATATGCCCTCCATCCCTCTCAAGAGTCACATCTGTTACCACAGGAGCTGCATTTCTTCTAAGCCTTCCCAAATAAGTAAGCTCTCAGTGGCCATTGCTGATTGTAAGCTCCCTAGAGGAATTATCTCTGCTTCTCATTTAGTCTTTATCTACGCTGTGTGCAGTGGATTGTGTTTCTGTGTCATTTAGGTTGGGATGTGCTATGCATATCGTGGGTGATTAGTAAATATTAAGTAGTTATGAATAACTGCTGTTTACTTAATATTTGGTTTTACTACTCTGTGAGATAGGAATTTATCTTCACTTTATAAATAAATGAGCTAAGTCTCTGGTTAATGTGTCCAGGGTCATACAACTGGGAAAGAATGGAGCTGGGATTTGAGCTGAGCCGGCCTGACTTCAGTATAACCCCTGTGCTGTATTACCTTTCTTTCTTTGAAATTATGAAGTGGAGAATTCTGTAGTATATTTTTACAAATTGAATGCTGAATTCAAATTTCATTTAGGACAGTGTTCTACCTGAATTGGGACCTGATGAATTGACGAACCACTTTTTCCTGGGGTCATTATGTTGATAGAAAAATTTGACAGTTGATAATGATTTTTCTCCTGGACTTTACGAGCTTAAATACGTTGACTCATGATTAGTACTTAAAGAAAATAAGCTTATGTCAGTAATGGTACCTTTCAGGAATTAGTCATATCATTATATATGCCTGTGAGCCACAGTCTGTCTATAGCAGTGATCCTCTGCCTTGGCCACATGTTAGAATGGAACACGGGTTCTCCAACTTCAGCATGTCCCAGAACCACCGATTACAGGGCCACCCCTGAGTTTCTGATCATTATGGTAGGATCGAGGATTTCTAACAAGTTCTCCAATGATGCGAGTGCTCTGGAGGAGAGCCCACATTTTGAGAAGCTTTGCCATTGGGACCTTTTAAAAATCCTGAGTTAGGCCTTACCCAGATAAGTTGAAACAGAATTTCCAAGTGTGAGACTCCACACAACTTATAAAGTTCCCTCAGCTAATTCTGGCTAGCAGCCAAAATGAGAAATGTCTTTGATTGGAAGTTCAGTCATTCTCCCTTTAATTTGTAAGGAAATGTATGTGTCTCTCTGCTGCTTCTGTTCTCCTTTAATCTTTCCCCAGCATTTGACAACCCTCATTTTATTGAAGCTTTCCCTTCCTATAGCTTTGGTGCCACCTTACTCTCCCGGTCTCTGACCTCTTCAGTCACTTCTCTGTCACTTTTATTGGCTTTTTTCTTTCTTCGTACACAGAGTGTGGACTCCTTCTAAGCTGCAGGCCCAGATCCCGTGTCCTCTTTAAATTCATTTCCTTAGTGAGCTCATCCACTCTTTATACCTTTAAGTTGCAAGTCTGTGCCTGTGGGATCAAAGCTGTGCCCTTGCTTCTGATTTCTGGTGTCACATCTTCAACTTTCTTTAGACATTCTGTACTTGCTGGCTGTATTTTCCAGTCCAGAATTCCATATGTCCTGACTCAGTGATGAACACACTTACCTGGTCATAAAAATGATGTACTGTGTTTGGTAAGCACTAGTTTCCTGGGCCCTACCCTGGAGATTCTGATTCAGTAGCTCTGAGATGGCACTCAGAAATCTGTATTTTTAACATGTTCCCCGCTCTAATGAGTCTATGTTCCAGCAAGTTTGGAAACTAACTGCTTAACTGAGTTCACTATATCCTTTCCTACACTTTCTTTTCCCATTTTCCTGTCAGTGGGACCAATAGTTCTGACTAGAAAAAAATGAAGAAACTTGAAACCTAGGAGTGAGGTTCAACTGCCTTCTCCTTTTGCCCCTCATCAGATTATTTTGCTTTCAGCTTGAGTCTCAGCTTTATCCCTTTCCACGCCTGCCATCACCACCCTCATCTCTGCACCCTGATTACTGAGATGCAGGATGGCAGAGTTGGTAAATGCTCAGGCTCTGGAGCCCTGCTCTTGCCTAGGCGGAGATCCTGGCAGGTTGCTTAACTGCTCTGTGCTTTAGTTCCCCCTCATCTGAAAAATGGGGATGATAACAGTACCTGCCTCATAAATTATTATATGAAAAATAATATGTGGGAAGTGCTTGGAGTAGTGCCTGTGCCTAGTACGTGCTAAGTAAACATCTTCTGTTATTACTGTGAGGTTATTAACTTCCTTTAACATTTTCCACCATCATGCACTATGCATTTTGCTGCCGACAAAATCTTCCTAAAATAACATTGCAGTATGCTGCCCCCTTCCTTGATCTTTATGGGTGCACATAACCTCCTAGATTAAATCTAATCTTTTCAGCATGGCATTCCAGTCCCTTAGTCCTGATCCTTTTTACCTGCTGTATTTATCTCATGTTATTCTCCAATTTTGTACAACAGTCAGGCTCCTCTCTTTAGGGTTCGGTGTATTAGCCATGTGCATTATTCCCTTCCTGCCTTTGCTGATACTTTTCCACTTGTCTGAATGTCTTTCTTCTTGTTTGCATGTCTATATCCTACTAACCATTTAAGACTGAGTTCATCCGTAAGATTTCTTTTTCCATAACTTGTGCCTGCCTTTGATCTTTCTTTTTCTTGTGTCTTTCATCCTGTCAAATGCTGTAAACTTTTCAAGATTAGCGTACTTCTGTATGCTACCTCCTCTTCTTCCCCCATACTGACTCAGTGAAAGTTTTTTTTCAAGTTGTTTATTTTTGTGTCTTTTATCTTCAAGACATTGTGACCTATGACCTGTGACATTTGATTTGGCAGGAAATCTGTGTGGGAATTTTAGGTAATATGGCCTGTTTCCAGGAGATATGTGTGTCCATCAGCAGTGATAAAAATCTTGGGTAAGTTTTACTGTATAAGAATTATGTTTTTACAAAATAAGTTAACACTTCATATCCCTAAGGAAATTCTAATACATAGGAGATACAGGAACATTTTATGAAATGTAGTATTTCCTTTCTCCTGATGAATAGTCTCCAGGAACTTCATTGTATATTGATGGTAGCTAGGGGCTTTCACAGTTTTTAATGGGCATGACTGAGGATTTAGGCCTGTTTCTTTATTGGTAGCAAAAGGACAAACCTTCAGTAGGTGGTAAGCCTGACAAGATAAGACCCTGAGGGGCAAAGCTTGGCAATGGGGCCCCTGACCAGAGTCCCAAATAATTTAGGCTCAGGGAATCCAATGGCTCAGAAAAGCTAGAGTCTGGAAAAACTAGACTTAGTAACCAGGGTTACCCTGAGAACTCTTGACTAAGATCAGGGGATAGGGCTTATTGACAGACTAGAAGATACAGGGTTGCCTCCATGATTCAAAGGCTTTCATATTTTCGCTTGGAGGTTAGTTCTATTTTAAATGCAGGAAAATTTTAAGCAGAGGGTTTTTTAGTGGTGGAAACCCTAGTGGTTACTTTAAGAGATCTGAGAAAACCCTGAAATTGTATGCTAAACTTTGAATGTATTCATTTTTTAGGCAGAGAGTTCATGGCTGTTAATCAGAATTTCAAAGAAATTTGTGCCCACACTAGATTAAGAAAAGTGTTCTAGGTGGTTATCATCAGCTAGGGTTGTGAGGGTTTATCGCAGGATTTAAGTACCTGGGTCTCTAAAATAGCGGTAATTACCTCTTCTATGTGTGCAGTGACTTTAAAATCCTGATTTAAGGTCTTTATTCCTCAGTAATTTAAGTCATTCATGGAGTAAATGACCCAGGATTATATTTGGTCTCTAGTGGTCCTTATCAAAAATCTAAGAATGAGGGGCACCTGGGTGGCTTGGTTGAGCATCTGCCTTCGGCTCAGGTCGTGATCCTGGAGTCGTGGGATTGAGCCCCGCATCGGGCTCCCTGCTCAGCGGGGAGCCTGCTTCTCCTTCTCCCACTCCCCCTGCTGGTGTTACTTCTCTCGCTGTGTCTCTCTCTGTCAAATAAATAAATAAAATCTTAAAAAAAAAAATCTAAGAATGAGTCATGTTAAAATTAATATGGAACAATTTACATTGGTGATGGGATATGAATTTGTTCAGCTACTTTAGAGAAGTTGGGCATTATTTTGTTAAACTGGAATATGGGCAATGCAGATACTGTGATCAAACTATCCCACTGTATATAGTAAGATAAACTGTACATACGTATATCAGCCAAAAAGTATTGGAGGAGCATTGCTTGATATGGCCCCAGTTAGAATCAACCCACATATCCATCAGCAGTAGACTGGAAAAATAAATTGTTTTATATTCATATGTTGGAATGTTCTGCAGCAATGAATCAAAGAACGATCACTATGGGAAAACAAGGGTAGATCATAAAGACATGGTGTTGAGCAAAAGAACTAAGACTCTAAAGAATACATACAGTATAATTTTTTCACATAACATTCAAAGCCAAAATATATGGAATAATAAAACTATGGAGTAAAACAAGGAAATAATTGCTGGAAAAGTCCAGGTAGTAGTCATTTCTAGGTGGGAAAGAGAATTGTGATTTGGAAGGGACACACAAAGCCTACAGAGAGATGTAGCACTGTTCCGTTTTTTGTAAATACGTATTTGCTTGATAACTGTTCATTAAGTATAAATTTATATCTGTAGGCTTTCTTGTATATATACTATATTTCACAATGAAAATGTTGAAGAAATTAAATAACTCTACCTAGATATTTGAAATGAGAGAAGTGATGCATATTGGGTTAACTTTTTTGTTTTTATAGACAGGTGTTATTGCACTGTTTGTATGATTCAGACCCTCCTACTCTTCTGGAAACGAGCCGGTATGCTTTCTTTTCTATGGGTTCTGTATATTCACTCATACAGGAATCTAGGACCATAGAGTTAATTCTTCATTCTTGAATTTCCTTTACTGTTTTTCAAACATAGTTACTAAGCTCATGTTTATCTTGTAGGTTGTTGCTTACTTGTCTTTCCCAGACAGAAGTAGCCAGTGTCTGGGTTGAAAGAATCCGGGAATATCCAGCTATTTATGATAGCATTTGTTTCATTATGTCAAGTTCAACAAATGGTAAGTCACCATGTAATCTAGGAGAAATTTTTGGTTATATTTAATTGTTAGGAAACCATGTAACTATTTCTGGAGGTTGCTTAAAAAAAGCTTTAAGTATAAGGTAAAGTATTTTGATTCAAGATATAAAATTTCTTCTTAAGCTACCAGGATACTGACAAGTCTTCATTTAAAAATGAAGGAAGACAAGCAAATTAAAACAAAGGAGGTGAATAAATTGCCCTCTGAATAAGTAATGATTTGGCAAGATTTGGCTTTCTTGGAATAGCTTTAGGAATTTTGATTAACCTTACTGTTTTTAAATTTTGTTTCTCATATTTGTTTTATTGTCTGCAGTTGACTTGCTGGTCAAGGTGGGGGAGGTTGTGGACAAGCTTTTTGATTTGGATGAGAAGTTAATGTTGGAATGGATTAGAAATGGGGCTGTTCAGCCTCTGGACCCACCCCAGGAAGATTCTGAAGAGCAGCCAGTGTTTAAGATTGTGCCCTGTGTACTTGAAGCTTCAAAACAAGTACGGTAAGTGAGCTCTTTTGTGCAAAATGTTCTGGGAAAATCCAGTTGCTAGAAATATCCTTAGATAGAAGTTTTAGTTTCTTTTCAACGGGATGAATAACACCCTGTCAATCTTTGTCAGGTTGGATTCACTACTAATATTTGTGATGACAGTGTGTTTGCTGTTTTCAAAAATCATAATGGTTACAAAGTACCTATTCTAATATTACTTAGCTATAGTCTGTTTTCCAGCATGAAGTATGGTTACTGTCTTAAAATTTTCTGCAGTTTTGTGTAATTTAAGTCAAATAGAAAAGATTTTCTTGTGTTTTGTTTTCCATCAAACATTTAACAACTTTTTCAGTTATTGTCAGACATCGTTTGTTTTCTTGCTTCTTATGTATATATGTCAGTCTTGGATAAGTGAGTTTTGGGCTCTGATGTCTTGCCAAGAGTGATTGCTAGGTGTTGTAGATTATTAAAACTTTCTTGCTAGTCACTAGAAAGTTAACATGTGAATTGATCTGCTTAATGGTCAATTGTTTATTCTTTGTGCTTAGTAACCCATAGTAAAGTCTGTGAATTTTATGTCTTTTATCCAAGTGAGGATTAAACTCATCATCTTTCCTCCAAACCTGCTTCTTCACTCTTCTCAATCTCAGTGAATGATGCAATCATTATAGGATGATGTGGAAGTCATTACTGACTTTTCCTCCCCATCCTGCTCTTTTTCCACGGCGAGTCAACCTCCCAAAACTTGTTCCTGACTTTTTCTAGGGTCCCATCCATCACCCGGCCACTGTCTCTTACCTAGTAACTGCGGCATTTTTCCAAACCTGGACTGTATAGCCATCTTTCCAAAGCACATGCTCATCATACCACTTTCATGCTTTGGACTCTTCCATGGCTTTCCTTAGGATGAGGTCCAGATTTTTTTTAAAGCATGGCTTACAAGGATCTAGTGCTTCTCCATCCTTATTACTTGTTCTATGTGTTTCAGCCCTGTGAAATTTCTTTCATCAACAAAACCAAGCTCTTTTGTCTCCAAGCCGTTGCATATCATGTCTCTTTTATTTCAAACACTTCTCCTGCAGCTCTGTGCATAAACATCATTTGTCTTAGCATACCTTCCTGACTCTCCAAACTTAAAAATTTTAAGTCTGCTTGCCGTATGGTCCTCTAGCACCTTGGACTTCTTTTAGTATTACATTCATATCACTTTATCATAATTGCCCTTTAATTCTCTTCTCTCCTTTAGACTATAAACTTCATGAAGATAGAAACAGTGTTTTACACATCTATGTTTTCCCAGCTGCTTAACATAGTGCCTGAAAATAGTAGGTACTGAAGTATTTGCTGAATCATCTTTTTTATCATCCACTAATTTTTTTACTTAACTGTTTGAGGAACTAAGATTGTGAGTTTCTAGGAATCCAAGCTGTTGATCACAAAAATTATGCTTAACATGGTTTTTAGTATTCTCAGCTAGGGAGCCAGGGGAGTGGTGAAGTCTTGTGAACGTCCTTCCCGTCGGTGCTTGCGGCAGTGGGCCTTTCATTCATTATATAAATGTTTTAGTCATTTTTCTTCCTGATTATGCCAGAATGAGGAAGTATCACCTAGAAGGTCACCTAGAAGGTTTTTGCACTGTTGCTTTTGTGGGACAGGGCAAAATAAACCTTTTACTTCTTGTCCTTGTGTGGTGATGATATTCCATAATATTTCTTTGTTTTTTGACTGTTCCTACCTGCTCCCCCCTTGAAATGTAAGCTCTGGTGAGCACCGAGTCTTTGTCCTGTTCCCTGATTTATCCTCAGCACCTGGGGCAGTGACTAGTACAAAGTGATAAAAGTATTTGTTGAATGAGTGAATGATTGCAGTCCTATAGAGTTGTTGATTCAGTGCTTTTGCTTTTTGTATGTAGTTCGGAAAATCCAGAAGGGCTCGATGTTTACATGCATATCTTACAGCTGCTTACCACAGTGGACGATGGAATTCAAGCAATTGGTAAGGTGTTTTATAGGGAAGCACTGGAGGTACTCACTGAATTGTTTTCTATTGTTATATGACTATTTGCTTTATCATTTTTATTAAGTACAGTGTCCTGATACTGGAAAAGACACTTGGAATTTACTTTTTGACCTGGTCTGCCATGAATTTTGCCAGTCTGATGATCCACCCATCATACTTCAAGAACAGAAAACAGTGCTAGCTTCTGTTTATTCAGTGTTGTCTGCCATTTATGCGTCACAGACTGAACAGGAGTATCTAAAGATAGAAGAAGGCAAGTACCATTTTAATTCACTAAAGTAAATTCTAGTCTGTCAGATTTTTTATTTTTTTATTTTTATTAAAAAAAATTTTTTTTTTAAAGATTTTTTATTTATTTATTTGACAGACAGCGAGAGAGGGAACACAAGCAGGGGGAGTGGGAGAGGGAGAAGCAGGCTTTCTGCCGAGCAGGGAGCCCGATGCGGGTCTTGATCCCAGGACCCTGGGATCATGACCCGAGTCGAAGGCAGATGCTTAACGACTGAGCCACCCAGGCGTCCAATATTACATGCTTAATACAAAAAATTTGCAAAATTTATAAAAGGAAGCATAGCACTTGTAATCCCACTATCCAGAGATAGTTATTATATACTTATAGGCATATATATCTCTTATTTTTATTTTTTTATTTTTTAAAGAACTTATTTATTTATTTGACAGAGAGAGAGAGTGAGAGCAGGAACACAAGGGGGAATGGGAGAGGGAGAAGCAGGCTTCTTACCGAGCAGGGAGCCCGATGTGGGACTCGAACCCAGGACCCCGGGATCATGACCTGAGCCAAAGGCAGATGCTTAACGACTGAGCCACCCAGGCGCCCCCTTTTTTTGCGGGGGGGGCATATATATCTTTAAGTCCTGCTTTTTAGGCAACTTTTCTCATTTAGAAGTACAATATGAATATTTTCCTGTGTAAACAAATGGTTTTTCACAGAGTGATTTTTTTTTTTATGACTACAATTAAATCCAGGATCTATCTAGAATTTATTCAGGTGTTACGTGTGAGGTATGGTTTTAGCTTTTTTCCAGATGGCAACTCAGTTGTCTTACCAGCATCATTTAGTGAATAAACCAGTTTATCCACACTGATTTGAAATTTTATCATTTACTGTGTTCTGAGTTTCCCTATATATTTTATTCCCTTCTATCGCTCTACTCATGTGTCAGTAGCTGTAGTTTTTAAATGTTTTAATGTAGAGTAAGGGTAGTTCCCTTTCATCCTCATTTTTCGAAATGGTTTTGACTATTATTCTTGTTTAACACTGAATTTGATTAACAAGTTACGAAGACAAAAACTTCCTGATATTTTTATTGGGATCATGTTAAATTTAAGTGTCCAAGAACATGTTACACTTTTCCATTTGTTCAAGTCTTATTTTATGTTCTCAGTAACGTTTTATGATTTTCTTCATGAAGACTTGCATATCTCTCTTAGGCTTATTCCTAGTTATTTTATCTTTTGGGTTGCTGTTGTCTGTCACATCTTTTCTTCCATTAATTATTGCTGTTGGAATATATGAGAGATTGATTCCTGTATATTAGTATTGCATTCGGTAGTTACCTTACTGAATTCCCTTACTATTTTTAATAGTTGTCTCTGTGATAATCTTGGGTTTTATCTGATTCCGCTTTGGATTTAAGTTAGATATGTTTTATCATTTTTCTGCCCCTGATTTTTTTCTCTTATTTAATGGGTTGCCTTGTGCCTCTGGTGGTAGAAAACATCCTTACCTTGTTCCTGACTTTATTGGAAATGATTCTAGTGTTTCACCATTAGTCATGATACTGCTATTTACCTTTTACCATTTAAGGAAAATTAATCCATTCCTATTTTATTGAGAGTTTTCAATAAAAAATGAATGATGAAGGGCGCCATTATGTATATTTACGTTTAAATAAACCAATATATGGTTTGTGTATGTAGTTCTAACATTTAGGAAGGTACATATTTTTCATCTAATGGTTACCTTTATAATTACAGCTGCTCCAAAAATAACATTATAACTGCTCTCCAGTCCTTAAAAAATCATTAAGATCTAATAACTTAGAAGATATATATCAGTGTTAACAATTCCTTATCAATTTTTCCTGGTACTTTCAAATTACAAATTCAAGCCTCAGGGATTGCATTCCTGAATTATATTTTAAAATATCATTTTAGGGGCGCCTGGATTGCTCAGTTGGTTAAGCGACTGCCTTCGGCTCGGGTCATGATCCTGGGGTCCTGGGATCGAGCCCCACATCAGGCTCCCTGCTCAGTGGGGAGCCTGCTTCTCCCTCTGACCCTCTCCCCTCTCATGCTGTTTCTCTCTCCCTCTATCTCTCTCTCAAATAAAATCTTAAAAAAAAAAAAAATATTTTAAGTTTTTTCTTCAAGAGCAGTAATTTTGTGTAGGATCTCCTTGTGTTTCATAATTTTAATTTTCTTCACTAAAAAAACCAACTGTCTTTACTCTCATTCCCCTCGCTTTGCCCCTCTGTCTTTCTGAGGTCCGCGTGCCTTTCTGTCCTCCACGTGCCTTTGTGTTTTGAGCGGTGTCCTCCCTCCTTTGTGCTACCACCAGCTTTGCCTTCATTTCGATGGTGGCTTGAATTTTTCTTTTAATGTCTTCCTTTGGTTCTGCCAGCTCAGGTTTCCTCTCCCATTGTCATTCATTTCTTAGTCTGAGCTCTTCTGTGTCTGCTTGGTGCTTGCTTACATGTTGTTTTAAGACTTATGGCTAAATATTATCTTAGTATGCATGAGCTTCATGTCAGCTTCTTTTGGTGAGTATTCTTCATCTTTTTTTTTCTCTTGTTCCTTCTTTTCTTTTTTCTTTTAAGTGTCTTTGTGTTGCTCCTATGCTGGTTTCCTTTTGCTGACTCACCTTTGAATGACTTGAGTTTTTCCTGGACTAGCCGTTTGCAGGAAGTTGTTAGAGCAGCTAATAGGAGTTGGGTCTGTGAGTCTTCCAGCTCTTTTTACCAGGTGACACATGGCTGTGGTGGAGTCTTTCCTTTCCCCTTGCCATTTGCTTCCTGCAAATATGGCCTGTCTTTGGGATTGCTCATTTACCTCCTCTTCCTCTGAGTCTTAGGACCCCCAGGGGAGCTCCAGCTGCTGCTATCTTGCACATTCCATTCCTGCTCTGGCAAACAAGGGATTCTGGATTTGCGCCTCAGTGTATGTGCTTTACCTTAAAGAAACGGACTTTTCTGGCCCTTTCTCAGACATGCAGCCTCTGGCATCTTTCCATCACTTCCTCCTGCACCTTCTGCTTCATTTATATTACTTTGACACGATTTCCACTCACCTTGTGTTTGAGGTTTCTGCTGTCTCCTAATTTGATCTAAGCTGACATTTGTTTTTTGTTGCTTTTTTGTGTGTGTGTGTGTGTGTGTGGTGATTTCTGAAAGGAAAAGGGGAGGAAATGCTGACTTTGAGCCCCGATGCTCTTTCTAACCTTGTACATATGTGCTTCCTGTTGAAAATCATGAGTTTTTATTTGCAATATTAGGAACACATCTTTCTTGGTGGTTTTTTATTACTTATTTTTTTAATTTTATTTTATTATGTTATGTTAACCACCATACATTACATCACTAGTTTTTGATGTAGTCCGTGATTCATTGTTTGCGTATAACACCCAGTGTTGCATTCAATACGTGCCCTCTTTAATACCCATTACCAGGCTGACCCCTCCCCCCATCCCCCTTCCCTCTAGAACCCTCATTTTGTTTCTCAGAGTCCATAGTCTCTCATGGTTCGTCTCCCCCTCTGATAACCCTCCCTTCATTTTTCCCTTCTTACTATCTTCTTTTTTTTTTTTTTTAACATATAATGTATTATTTGTTTTAGAGGTACAGGTCTGTGATTCAACAGTCTTACACAATTCACAGTGCTCACCATAGCACATACCCTCCCCAATGTCTATCACCCAGGCCCCCCATCTCTCCCACCCCCCTCCACTCCAGCAACCCTCAGTTTGTTTCCTGAGATTAAGAATTCCTCATATCAGTGAGATCATATGATGCATGTCTTTCTCTGATTGACTCATTTTGCTTAGCATAATACCCTCTAGTTCCATCCACATCTTTGGAAATGGCAAGATTTCGTGTTTCTTTTTTTTGATGGCTGCATGATATTCCATTGTGTATATATATATATATATATATATATATATA